TTTTCCGAGTGGCGATGGGGACCCTGCCTGGACGGAAAGCCCGCAGAGGGCAGGGGTCCTGCCTGAATGCGGTCTTTCAACTCCACCTCACCCGCTCGCCTCCATCCCAGAACTTTCTAGGCTGCTTCTCGGCCTTTTCTCCGTGGCGCCTACGCCATTTGGCCATTTGAGTACACTACGCACTTCGCTTGTTTTTCTCTTGAAAAAAAAAAATTATTAGTTTTGTTCGTGGCTGTATCCCCGCCTCTTAATACATTGTCTGACACCTAGAGGTGTTCAATATTTGCTGAATGAATGGTTGACCGTTTTTTTTTCTTTTAATTGTTTTTTCCTTTGGTCCTCAAGTGTTGAGAGTTGAGGTAATCACCTCCTCCTTTCCTGGTACATGATTGCCATCTGTTCAGGGAAAGTACTTGGATTAACTGATTTTCCCTCCTTCCATTTCCAACGGCTTTCATCGCCTCCCACACACCCCAAGTTTCTACCCTAATCCATTTGATGTCTTTAGATAAGTGTATTTTTTAAAAACTATTTAGTGTTATATTGTATTTATGGGTGACCTTAATTTATATAATGCTCATTGTTTTTTCCCCCTACTCAGGTTGTTTTTGAGTGTCATTTGTGTAGCTCAGTGCAATATATGTAGTATAAGGTGATAACAGATCGGGGTAGAAAAGGACATGGTAAGAAGGCTCAGGAATGGGGGTGGGGAGGTAGTGGCAGCTACAATTTTAAATAGGGTCATCAGGTTGGTCTTCATTGGGAACATAATATTTGAGCAGAGTTGAAGGAGGTGAGAGTGAGCCAGGAGGATACTTAGAGGAAAAGTTTCCCAGGCAGAAGTAGCTGGTGTAAAGAGGCCAGTGAGGCTGAATCAAAGTAAATAAAGAGTTCAGAGCGCACAGGGCGTGGAGCAGGGGGCGGAAAGAGCTGTCTTCCACCTTGAGGACATTGGCGTGGACTCTGAGTAAGATGCCACATGACTGAAGAATTTGGAACAGGATCGCCAGCTTAGTGAGTGTGTGACCTGTGCGACTGCATACGGTGACTATACTTGGTGTAAAGCTCTGCTATCATTGTCTTAAGATTTTTAATAATTTTTGAACAAGGAACTCCACATTTTCATTTTGCACTGGGCCCTGCAAATTATGTAGCCGATCCTGAATGATCTATATTGTGAAACGATCACGGTGGCTGCTGGGTTGAGGGTACACTGTAATGTAGAGAGACTGGGAGCCTGGAAGCCAGGAGACTGGTTAGGAGGCTACTATAGTAATTCAGACAAGAGATGATGGCAGCCTGGACCACCAGTGTGGTAGCAGACATGGTGAGGAGGTAGAACCAGCTGGATTCGCTTGATGGATTGGATGTGTAGTATAAGAAAGAGAATAGAGGATGACTCTTCCAGAGTTTTTGGCTGATTTCAAGGGGAACGATGGAATTGTCTTACACTGAAATGGGGGAAGCTTCTGGTAGGAGAGTTTAGGGAGGAAAATTGGGAAATACTGTTCTGGATACGCTGAGTTTGAGACACTTTTTAAGATATCCAGGAGAAATGTTGAGTAAGTAGGTGGATATCTAAGTCTAGAATTCTGGAGAGAGGTATGCAGATATAAATTCTGAGAGTCTTTGGGGGTATATAGATGGCATTTAAGGGGTGAGAACAGAGAAGGACCAAGAATCAGCCCTGGGTGGGCATTCCATTCTAACGAGAAAGAGAGAGAACCAATAAAAACTGAGGAAATGATCACTGAGAATCAGAACTGAGATTGTGGTTTCCTGGAAACCAAGTGAAGAAAGGGTTTCAAGGAAGGAATGGTCCCAGGAGAGGAACATTGCAGAGAGATCAGGGTAGAGGTGGGCTGACAGTTGGATTTAGCAAAGCAGAGCCCTGATTATATGGTTTTGGTGGAGTGAGACCTTGATCATAGTGTTTTTTGTGGAGAAGTGGAGGAGAAAGCCTGACTGGCCTTAAGAGTGGAAGGGAGAAGAAGTGGAGGCAGAAAGTATAGGCAATTCTTTCAAGGAGTCCTGCCTCAAAGGAAAGCAAAAATACGGAGTAGTGGCCTGGCAGAGGAAGTAGGGGGCGAAAGAAGTTCTTGTTTATAATAAGATGAGAGAATTAACAACATATTTGAATGCTAATGAGAAAGATCCAGAGACAGGAATTTATAACAGAAAAGAGAGGAGAGGATTGTTGGAACATTGTCCTTGAGAAGGTGGGGGGGGGGCATCTGTGTCAGAGAGAGGGAGGAGGGAGACAGGTGCTGTTCTTTGATCCCACTGAGATCACCTGTTTGTTGATCCTGTCACTCACTGCTCTCAATCACTGGATGGCCTCTTTTGGGGGGAGGGTAATTAGGTTCATTTATTTATTTTTTTAATGGGGGTACTGGGGATTGAACCCCGGGATCTTGTGCATGCTAATTAAACACACGCTCTGCCACTGAGCTATACCCTCCCCAACTGGGTGTCCTCTCTTTAACCAACCTGGAATCCTGTGGTCAAACAAGCTCACTCTCTTGCATATACCATCGATTGGCTTGGCCTTCTATAGCTTCAAAGCACTTGCTTGGCCAAACCACACCCTGATTAAATCCAACTCTACCAAACAAGTGCTCCAAAGCCACAGATCAATGGATTGGTGGTATCAGTGGTATCAAAGGATGGCTGTGCTTGAGAGGGAGATGGGTGGAAAAAGGTACTTTTTTACATGGTGTAAAAATGAGGTTATGGAGAGGTTGCTGTTGTTGGTTTAGGTTATGGCAGTGAGAGAGACCATCTACAGAAGAGGGGAAAGCAAAATTTAAGGGAGGAAAAGAGTTTAAGAAACTTAGACGCTGGTAATTAGGAAAATCGTCTATGTATCTATTGGAATAGACAAGATTTAAGGCAGGAGTGGCATTACTGACAGGAATTTAGCCAGGAGCTAAACTCCTCTAAATGAGGGGGAGTGACCAAGAGTTTAGTAGATGATTTAGAAAGATGTTCAAACTGAGACCTGATGGGTGAGTAGCAATTAACTAGGCAAGCAGGAAGAGGGCACGTTTCTGGCAAAGAAAACAGCTTATGGGAAGGGCTAGGATGTGGAAGAGGTTTGTTGCAGATGGGTGGAGAGCCTGGGAGTAACGACTCAGCACTGATGAGGAGCCAGGGCCTTACAGACTATCTCAAGGAATTTAGATTTGGCCTAAAGGCAATGGAAAGCCATCGAAAAGTTTTACAGTGAAGAGTGGCAAGATGGGATTAACATTTTAGGCAGATCACTCAATCTGCCGGATAAAGGAAAGAAGATAAACAGACTGTTTAGGTCATGGCTTGGACTAGGATGGTAGAACTTGGTGATTGGGTGTGTCTGTATGGGAAAGAGAGGAGTCAAGGATGATTTCGAATCACAGATACGGAAACAATCTTATGGTTACCAAAGGGGAAGGGGCGAGGAGGGATAAATTAGGAGTTTGGGATTAGCAGATACACACTGCTATACATACAGTAGATAAAATAGGGACCTAATGTATAGCATGGGGAATGTATTCAATATCTTGTAATAACCTGTAATGGAAAAGAACCTGAAAAAGAATATATATATATATATATATATATATATATATATATATATATACACACATACATATATACACATACATATAAATATAAAGAATATAACTAAATCACTCCGCTGTACCCATGAGACTAATAAAACATTGTAAATCAACTATACTTCAATTTTAAAAACTGGGGGAAAAAAAGAATGATTTCCAAGTTTCTGGCCTGGACAACTGGTTAGTTGGTGCCACTTGCCACAAGGACTACAGGAGGGAAATGGAGTTAAGTTTAAAAATGTTGTTCAAAGTGCCTGCCGGTTATCCCGTAGGCTGTTCTACTTGAGGGCTAGCGGAGTCGTCTGGGCGAGAGAGGAAGATTTGGAAGCCCTGAATTTATAAACAGTGACTGACGGAAGTAACAGGCATTAATGAGATGGCTTAGGGACAGTAATGTGGGGGGAAAAGAGTGCAGGGGAGAATGAGGAGATCAAAGAGCTAAGGGGAAACCAGTAGAATTTGGCATCATAACCTCCCAGTCCAGGCCCATAGCTACCTCCCATGGAAGCTTCAAGGCCCAGGGTCCTGGGGCCACAGTGGAAATCCGAGACATGTTCACTCTCTTCTGTCTTTCTTTTTTGCTAGTTGCCAGATATAAACTCCGAATAGTTGAGCCACCAAAACTACCTCTGGAAAAAAAACCCAACCCTGATAACGATGGTGAGTAGAGGGGAGTGAGTTCTCTGACAGCCCTGTGGCCTGGGTGGGACACCCAAAGCCCATGTGCTCTGGCCCCCAATCTCCTCTTTCTCTGCACAGGTCCAGATTTCGAGCCGAACCTGTGGATGTGGGTAGACCCCAACATCGTGTTCCCCCCTGGAAAGCTGGAGGTCTCAGAACCCAGTAAGGGGGAGAATCTGACAAGCACAGACCCCTCCCCTCAGCTGCCCCCCAAGGAAGAAGACTTTGCCAAGTGCCCAGAGGCCACAGTGGCGGAGTCGTCGTCACCTTCCAGAGAGCAGTCTCCCCCTCGGAAGCGGTTTGCCTCTTCCCCCAGCAACTGGAAGGTAGGGATTTCTGGGTCGTGGGCCAGATGTGGGCTATAGGCAGGGTGGGCATCAGAGTTCTGTTTTCTCAGGGATAACAAAGGGTTAATGGGTCCAGGAATTAGCAGTGCCCCTGGGTTGGGGAGAAGCCCAGTTGGTGGCCCTAGACCACCACCCCTCCTGCCGTCGCACCCCTGGAGTAGAGGCTGTGGAGTCAGGACCAGTTCCTACTCTGTGCTCCTCTAGCTCACAGAAGAGGAGGAGGCTGAGGACCAGGATGACAGCTCCTCTATGGCTCTCCCGTCCCCTCACAAAAGGGCCCCCCTCCAGAGTCGGAGGCTTCGGCAAGCCAGCAGCCAGGAGGGGAGGCTCTGGTCCCGGCCCCCTCTCAATTACTTCCACCTAATTGCACTGGCATTAAGAAACAGTCCCCCCTGTGGCCTCAACGTGCAACAGATCTACAGTTTCACTCGGTATGTGCCGGGGGCCCTGTGAGGCGGGCGAAGGGAGGGGCAGGGCCCTGGGTCCGATACCTTCCGGGCCGCCCCAGGCCCGGGCTGCCCTTTCAGTTCCCCGATCTGGGTCTGAGAGGAGAGATGTATTCCCAGTTCCCTTTCCCAGGCCCTGGTGCTGGGTTGGCCCCGAATGTGTGTCCACAGGTCACCTGTACAGGAAGAAAGCTAGCCCCAACCCCTTTCACATCTGAGAAACTCCAGCCTTTTTTTTTTTTTAAACATCTTAGTTCTTTAAAACATTAATTCACCTGGGTCATAAATTCTCCTGTCTTCCTTCTCTTTTTTTTTTTTGGATTTTTTAAATTGATTTATAATCATTTTAAAATGTGTCAAATTCCTGTCTTCCTTCTCAAGATCATCCAGTATAAAATCTGATTTCGCCAACAGTTTGTCACATGCTTTCCCTTTGGACTGGACTGCCTGGCACAGCCTGTCCCCTAGGGACCCGGGGAAGCCCGGCTGAGAAGGGATTTCCATTGAGCTTTGAGAGCGGGTGCCCATCAGTGTGAGGAGTTTCTCAGACCTGCTCCCTCTATCAGAAGAGTCGCAGGACATTAATTGTCAAGAGATGTCCTCCTTGACCAGGATTCCTCTTATAGGAGTTGGTTGGCCTGATTTCTCCTCTTGTTCCTGTTGCAAGTCCTGAGCCCGCAGAGGGAGGGAAGAAAGTGAACCCAGGAGTGGGGGGGAGTACCCTGGGTTTCGAAGGCTTTGCACACGTGATGCAGCAGATGGAGATTTGCCGTGTGCTTGGTCAGCAAAGAGCAGTCCCAGGCCAGCTTGCCCTTCTCCACCTTGCGAGCAGGGCTGAGGCTCCTGGCCCTGGGGGGGAGCATTCTCAAGAGCAGGGCATGTCCCAGAGAAACCATGCCTCTCCTTGCCATCCCTCCCTGTCCACAGACAACATTTCCCCTTTTTCCGAACGGCTCCTGAAGGCTGGAAGAATACTGTGCGTCACAATCTCTGTTTCCGAGACAGCTTTGAGAAAGTGCCAGTCAGCATGCAGGTGGAGGCCAGCATGCAGGCGGAGGCCAGCACACGGCCTCGATCCTGCCTCTGGAAGTTGACTGAGGAGGGACACCGGCGCTTTACAGAGGAAGCCCGCTCCTTGGCCTCCACTCGGCTGGAAAATATCCGACAGTGCATGAGCCAGCCAGGTGTGAGGCCTTGTCACCTGTGGGGCCGAGGGGAGGGGACCTGAAGATCCCAACCCAAGGCTGAGTGTGCAGTGAAAGAGCCTGGGTCACACCATGGCGGGGGGCACCTTCTGTAAGAAGGGGACAGGACAGCAGTGGTCTGAGTCCCTGGGATGGTGCCTGCCACCCCCCTCCCCCACCAAACTTGGAATATGAGGTCCCGGGAGTTGATGGAGAAACAGCTAAGGTGCAGCTGGCCCTCCAGCCCAGCAGCCCAGGGAAACAGTGACCACACGATGTAAGGGGCAAGGTATGAGAGGTTCTCTGCAGAGAGAGCTTTTCCTGGAGAGCAGGTGGCATTTGGGCCCTGAGGTAGGAGAAGTAGATCACTGGCCGCAAGAGAGCGTCCCAGGCCTGGGGACCAGCAGCTGCGCAGGGCAGATAGACCCCTTTGATTTTCTTCTTTCCTTACAGATGTGATGCCCTTCCTTTTTGACCTTTAAGTCCAAGAACCAGGCGTCAGCCCGTGCCTTATTAAAGTTGTCTGCAGCAGCCTGGTGTGCGTGTGGTCTCTGAGGATGGGGTGGGGTGAAGGCCAGCTCTGAGGTGTGATGGCCATTGTATTTGAGGAGGTGCCTTCATTTTCTGTCCACTTTTTCAGCCCTTAACCCTTGCAGTCTGTCTCACTGTAAAACCCGACTGCCTCCTCCCTAGTCTCTGAAACGTTGTATTCCTTTTTTTTTTTTTAACTTTTTTTTTATTGCGTTATAGTCATTTTACAATGTTGTGCGAAACTTGGTATTCCTGAAGTACATGACCCATGCCCTACCAGACCAAAATCTCTACCTTTGAAGAAAGGCCTCAGTTCATTTGCTTGGTTTGCACATTTTCAGTAACACAATCTCACCCTGCTCATCCGTCCATCACCACAACTACCTCTGCTGTACCCACTCCAGCTTTGCATTCATTCTGGAACATGCACCAGAAAGGAGGGGTGCTAGGCCAAAAGCTCTTACTAACCCTAGGGGGCGCTATGGCTGCCGCAAGGACTTAGGGGACTGCAGTCAGGCCCAGAAGTGTCAGGTGTCGGTGCAGGAGGTGGTCTCTCACCTTGAAAAACTGACCCCCAGACCTAAGGCCATTGATAATGAGCTGAGCCAAGAACCTAACCGGGTTTTACACCTAAGCCGGAAGTATTTGTCATATCATTTTATTATACGCTTCATTTTCTAGGAATGCAACTCTTCTGTAAAATGAAGGAAGATTGTACTTTTTTTAGTTTGGAAGTTTACCAAGACTTGTTTGCCATTTCGGAAAATCACTTCGCTGACAGCAAATCTGCTCTGGTATTTAAGTCACCGATAGCACATGCCTGAATCGGTCTGTGTTTGTATCTGTTGTACTCAGAGATTTTACATGTTTAAACAAATATTTAGCTATTTCACGGTAGCCGATAAAAGAAAAACAATCTTCAATAGTCATTTGAATGTCATATCGTAAATCTAAGCTTTCACTATACTGTACAAATTTCCAACTATCTTATGTTTTAAAAAGTTTATCCATTGAAATACATTTTTTATTATAAATTTCTCTCCCTTTATTTTTCTGTTATAGTTAACAGCGTTACAGTTTGATCTTTTTAAAATTCTATGTATAAGTAGGTTATTTTATCAGTAAGATTCATTTCAGGTAAAGATGGTTCTTACAAAACATTTGCTCTATGTCTAGGGTGTTAAAGCTGATGAAGTAAAAAAACCACCAAACCAAGCAATGTATAAGATACAGTCCCTGTGCCAGAGGTGCTCACCATCAGTGACCTTGGCAACCAGTGAGGACAAAAATGGAATAAGTCACATCCACATCCAAACCCCAGAGCCCAGCGTGAAGCCTGTTAGGTAGTAAGAAGGCTCTGTTTGCTATAAGTTGTCACTAGTATCTTCTCTAACAGGCAGATTCCCTGTTCTCTGGAAGCACAGAGAAGAGGGCAATTAGCTCAGGAGGCTGGGGAAGACTTCTTACAGGAGAGTTAGCTTGGGATCTTTTTCCAGGTCTGGAAAACAATAGCTAGTACTTCTCCGGAAGTGCTCAAAGGCAGCCCTGCCTGGGGGTGTGGGATGCTAATGCTCCCAGGAGGCAGGAGTGAAGGCTGGGGAGGTGGGGGAGAGCAAGGATGGGATAGGAAGAAAAAGCAACTAGTGCCAGGGAAGAGACAGGACAGACTGATGCAGGTGTGCGGCTGGAGCAAGTCAGGAACTGCTTTTCCCTGGCCCACCTGCAGGTGCTTTGTGCCAATTTTCTCCTCCTGGACTATCTGGATGCTAATTTTTATGTGCTATCCACCAGTGGAGTGGGTGGAGGGGCCAGCTCATTAATGGCATCGGCTCTGGGCCCACCCAGCACTCTCTGCAGCCAGAGCCCCTCTGATCTGTCCAGCTCCCAGGAAGAAGGAGAGGATCCTGAATCCTAAGCTCTGGTTTCATCTGATTTGGACTCAACTTGTCCACCTCACCTGCACTTTGTGCACATCCTTATCCCTGTTCACGTTCTTGTCAAGGTCTGGCTTATGCTGCAAGTGGATCCCAAAAGGCAACAGATCAGAAGGAACGAACATACAATACAGCTTTTGTGGGAAAAAGGGCCCTGAGAAAAATCTGCCTTTGCCCATTTGGTCCTCTAATAGAATATTACACTCCTACGCTTACCTCCTCCCTTTTTCTCATTCAACAACTATTGGTTTTGAGCTTTCAAAATGCCAGACCCTCTGCCAGGTGCTAGGGATACAGTAAAACCCAAAATGGTTCCTCCCTCACAGTCTAGATAGAAAGATACTAAACAGATACACTAATTATGTACAATATTGTAAATATTAATAAGTTTAGGTTATTGTGAGAGAAAACAATATGGGTACTTAGCCCTAATTGAAGAGGAGTTCAGAGAAGGCCTTTCTAAGAAAGATATTTTAACTGAGACCTGTTTAATGAGTATCCAGGCTGAAGCATGGGAAGGAAAAGTGTTGTAGCAGAGGGAACAGAATGGACAAACCCTGGGAGGTAGGAACCTCCTCACCTTGGCCTATTGAGAGTGGAGCTGGGCCATGGTGTCCAGAATACAGTAACCAAGGTGAAGTGGGGAGGGAGACAGAGACTAGACCTTTCTAGGCTATGATACGGAATTTTGATTTTTTTTCAAATGTAGTGGAAAACAATTGAAGTGACTGACATAATTTGATTTTTTTTTTTGATGATGTTTAGCCACTCATTGAAAGTGATTTGTAGGGGCAAATGTGGAAGCAGGAAGGCTTATTGGGAGGTGACTGCAGAGCCCAGGAGGGCTGGGGCAGTGGCTGTGGAAATGGACAGAAAGCAGCAGCCGGATTTGATGATGTCACTTGGAGGCAGAATCAACAAGGCAACAGGATTGATGGGATGCAGGAGGAGAGAGGAATGACGCTGAGGTTTTGGGTTTGAGTGACTGGGTGAGTGATGAGGAGGGGAAATCTGTGTTGGAGCAGCAATTCTGAGCAGTTTTGTATTTAGAGTCTCTGAGACGTCAGGGTGGTCCTGTCAAGTAGATAATTGTTGTAAGTTCAGAAGGTAAGTCTGAGCTGAGGATGTAAATACATTTGAGAGTCATGGGGGCACAGATAGTATTTAAATCATACTCTATGTACTGATGGAGAAAGATTTACAATACATTTTTAGGGATAAAAAAACAGTAGCAAAACAGTACATTTAATATGACTCCAAATGTGACAGAAACTATGTTCATCTATACAAATATGTTGTTTAAGCAGAGAAAATGTCTTGAAGAATATAGGTATCAAACAGTAATAGTCATCTTTGGGGATTGGCAGGGGGCAAAAGATATGGAGGAGAATCCCTTTTTATTTATGGCCTTGGTATAGTTTTTTTTTTTTAAACAAGAAATTGCTTCTTACATTTTAGAAATAAACACAACCCTTTGTTAGCCTGTTTTGTACCTTGATGCTATTAGTCAGCAGGCTGTTTAGCTGCATGCTTTCTTTTTCTTAACATCAATTTTTATTTATTTACACATTTGGGGGGTAATTAGGTTTATTTATTTTAATGGAGGTACTGGGGATTGAACCCAGGACCTTGTGCATGCTATGCATACACTCTACTGCTGAGCTATACCCTCCCCCCTAGCTGCATGCCTTCTAGGCTCCTTCCCAGCACAAACTCCCACCCCATGGACAAGTTAACCCCAGGATGCCTGGAATTTGATGATTTTAACTTAAGTTGACAAACATGCATAGACGACTCCTTGCTGCTGGAATCAGGCATGACCAAGACACAGTCCCTGCACTTGAGGAACTATTCAACTATTGGGTTTTCAACTGACTACTAAACAAAATGACAACAAGATGTGAGCAAAGGACCTTGGAATAGAAAAATTAATTCTGCAGGGTCAACTCTGGAAGGCTTCACAAAAAGGGTGACATTTCATTCATTCAATAAGGAATTGATCTAGGAGCTTATGAACGGATTGAGAGCTTACCATGTGCCAGACAAAGTCACCAGGCTTGTGGAAATTCCATTCTTATTCATATTTCGGAGGCTCATAGAACAGAATTATCAGGCAGAGCTGGAAAGAAGTAAATTCTATGCAGAAGGGACCAAGGGCTCGAGATGCTAAAGTGCACAGAAGCAATAGGATGGCAGGAATATTGCCCAGAGGAGGGCTTGGAGGAAGGAGATGGAAGGGGGAAGTGTGGGGAATAAGGCTGGAAAGGAGGTTGTAGGGGGTGTATAGCTCAGTGGTAGAGCACATGCTTAGCATGCACAAGGTCCTGGGTTCAATCCCCAGTACCCTCGTTAAGGGAAAAAAAACCCAAAAAGAAAAGAGGTTAGGAAACATAGTATAAAAGGCTTTGAAAGTCATGCTGCCAAGTTTAGACTTTTCCTGAAGGCAATTAGGAAACATTAAATTAATCAGAAAGTTACTTTAGACACTTCCTTAAGACCAGAGTCTGGAGGATAAGTGGAGCTGAAATAGACTAGACACTTGGAAATCACTTAGAAAGATTTTCCAGAAAGAGAGAAAGGGAATTGAAATAAAGTATGCTCATAAGTTAAAAAAAAAAGTGGAGAATAGATTTTAAACCTCTCAGAAATCCAGTAAGACAGCTGGTGCAGGGTGGATATGGGGACTGAGAAAAAGGGAGTATCAAAGATAAATTACCCTAAAACTCCAGGCTTTTAGCTTGGTGATATCATCCCCGCGGAGGATGAAAACAAGTGATGTTCCAAAGAGGAAGACGCTGAATTCCATTTCACACGGTCCAGTTCAGATGGCAGCCAAATGAACCCTTGGTAGTGGAGGGCTTTAGAGGACAATTTCAAAAGCAAAATTGCCAAGGGCTGAGAAGTTAGAAGTTGAAGTAGACAGTTTACACTACTCCAAAGCAGCTTTGGAACAAATAAGGGAAACGATGGCTGGATGGTTGGGATTTGACAGAGAATGAGAGGTTTTGGTAGGCAAGTGAAGTAATATGTTGCCATGAGAGTGTAGTGGAAATATTCCTGGGATCCAGTGGATAAAGCAAAGCCAGGAGGACCTAAGACCTAGACTAGTGATTCTCAAACTTGATTGAGCGTCAGAATCCCCTGAAGGGCTCCTTATACCACAGATTGCTGGGCCCCACTCCAGAGTTTCTGGTTCAGGAAGTCTCGGGCGGGGCCATTAATTTGCATTTCTAACAAGCTCCCAAGTGCTGATGCTGCTGATCCGGAGGCCACACTTTAAAGGTTTTTAAACCTTTAAACCTGGCCTAGAGCAAAGCATCTAGTGGCTGGCAGATGCTCAATAATTTTTTGAGTGAAAGGATGAGTCCTCATCTTCAGGAATGGAGGTCTCCCTTCAGTTAAAGACCAGCTGGAAGGTAAGGCCACTACGGGAGGATGGAAGATGATGGTCAGAGCAGAACTTCAGAGTTTGAATTCAAAGAAGGAGCAATTTGGGGTGGACAAGGTCCAGTGTTGCCCCTGCCAGGGGAGTGATGGGAGGTCAAAGAACTGAGTATTGCAAGGGTCCTCAGAATGGATCACATCTGGCAGAGGCCTGAGTCTAAAGGGAAGCTCCAACTGGAAGTCAAGATCTAAACGGGAGTCTGGCTACTTTCTGGGTCTGAATTAGCAGCATTGACCGTGTATACACCCACAGATCATGTATGCACCCACAGTGCATCTAATGCACCAGTACTAATAACAAATCTAAAGGAAGTTGGGGATTCTGTGCCAGCTGTTTGCACATTCTAAAAGTAAGGTCAGGCCTAGGCCCCAGGCTCTAGGGTGGAGGTCACAGTGTGGGGATTTCAGCCCTGTGAGGGAGCAATTCACCTTAGGCCCTAAGGGAGCGGGACAGACCGGAAGGCTGTTGATTCTGGGAGAAGTGGGTTGTAAAGAATTAATAAAGTTCCACTGGATTAGCATGTTTACAGATTTAAAATGTCTTGCTAACCCTCAGCAACGATTCTGCACCCTTAACAGCTTTACAGGAGCGACGCTCAGATCATCCCATGGCGGTGATTAGATTTTAGATTAAGGCTTTCAGGCTGTGTTCCCTACAGCCTGCTAGTACAGCGTCTGCCGCTTTACACTTGTGCGCTCTTTCACAAAGTTCCTTCTTTCATGGCTCAGTTTCCCGCTTTTAAAATGTCCATATTAGTACACCGCATAGGGTTATTGTGAGGATTACGTGAGGTAGTTAATGTAGAGCTCTGGATGCACAGTGCGCACCTGACCACCTTTATTAGCCAGACAACATCTGAGGATATTGAAGACTGGCTGCGTTTACAAGTGATCACTGAGGGAGCCGGGAGAAAATCCCGCGCAGCCGTAGACGGGCTTGCAGTGGCTCCTGCCCGCCGCTGGGGATCGCAGGGGCCGCTGGGTTCGCCCCGCCCCCGAAGGGTCAGAGGTTAACGGGCAGCCAAGGAGCGGCTGCGCGCCGCGGTTTCCCAGTCCCGAGAGGATGGCGCCGCCAGAGCGCTGTCCTCTGTGCCGCCAGACCTTCTTCTGCGGTCGCGGACACGTCTACAGTCGCAAGCACCAGCGGCAGCTGAAGGTGGCTTTGGAGCGGCTCCTGCCGCAGGTGCGCATGGGAGATTGGAGGGGACCATGGACCGCCTGGAGCATGGCGGGCAGGGCAGTGCCCGAGGGGGTGGGATTTGGGAGTCCCACTAGGGTCCTACTTAGCCTCTCCTCCTTGGCATCTTATCCGCGGCAGGTGGAGGCCGCCCGGAAGGCCATCCGAGCCGCACAGGTGGAGCGTTACGTGCCCGAGCACGAGCGGTGCTGCTGGTGCCTGTGCTGCGGCTGTGAGGTGCGGAAACACCTGAGCCACGGAAACTTGACCGTGTTGCACGGGGGGCTGCTGGAGCATCTGGCCAGGTGAGCGCCGGGCCGGGAGCCGCATCCTGCGCAGCTGTGTATATTTGTGGGAGGGAGAGTTTAGAACGGGTGAAAGGAAGAACGCTTTTGTGATTTGATCAGGGTGGATGATTGGGTCATTTTATAGGCATTGCCAACCTTGAGGGGCAGGGGGCTTGTAGCTGCTACGGTCCCAGTAGTGGCAATCTAGCTGGGAAAGCCGGCTGGGCAGCTGGCTCAGTCAGGTAACCTCCCATCACTTCCTCTCGAATTCTCCCATTTGTATTGGAACAGAGGGACTGTAGATCTGGAAGAGACTACTGACTAATTTTCCCTCAGCCTTTCGTAGAGGTAGAAACCCAGGTGTCAGTTTGCATTATTTATCTAATGCCTAGATGTCTGAGTAATGTTCTGTAATCTACCATTGAGATTACTTGTCCTCTCCGTTCTCAGCCCGGAGCACAAGAAAGCAACCAACAGATTCTGGTGGGAGAACAAGGCTGAGTTCCACATGAAAGAGAAGTTTCTGATCTCCCCCCAGGATTATGCACGGTAAGTCACTGGTTATGAATGACAGAGTGGCAGAGTGTAGATTCTCTGCGTCTGTGTCAGGTACTGGAGCTTCCTCCAGGAAATGTGTGTGTAACAGAGCCAGTGGAGCTGGTATGGCAGAATGTTAACAGTAAATCTGGGGAAGAGGTTCACGGGTGTTCCTTGTACTATTTTGTTTCTTGGAGTTTGAAATTATTCAAAATTTAGAGGAAAAATGACCTACTGATGATCTTTTAGCAACTGGCAGGGATTGGGGTTCTGGGCTGACTTGCCCTTTTTCTTTTTAGATTCAAGAAGTCTATGGTGAAAGGTCTGGATTCCTATGAGGAAAAAGAGGATGAGGTGATCAAAGAGGTGAGTTAAAGGAAAGTCTTCTGAAGGACCCAGCCCCCACCATCTTGTACCTATTTAAGCAGCCTCTCTCCCGCAGATGGCAGCTCAGATCCGTGAGGTGGAGCACAGCCGGCAGGAGGTGGTTCGGTCTGTCTTAGAGGTTGGTTTCCCTCGGAGGAGCCAGAGCAGTATCCAAATCCACTGATTCCTGGTTCTCCCATGTCCAGCATTTCACCTGCCAGCTCTTAAGAGAATTCATGGACTCCATGCTTCATCTGCTCGGCTTGAATTTCCTTACCTGCCCACCAGGGGGCAGGCCTTGTCAGATGATGTGGGCAGGGCTGGGAGGGAGGGAAAAGTTTGCAAGATGGACAATTATTTACTTCTGGAGGGTGGGAGCATGGCCTAGGCAAACTCTTTCGCATCCTAGACACATTTATTTTTCCTGAATCAAACTCAGCCTCAGGCAGTGCCAGACCCAGAAGAGGGCTCTTCGGCACCTGGAAGCTGGAAAGGAACAAACAGGTAAGATTGTCAGGAAACCTCTTGTTGGGAGTTCTGGCATCTCTTAGAGCATTCTGCAACCTTTTGGCCAGGAAATGGGAACAAATCTCATCTTTGCCATCCTCGTGGCTCAAGGACCTCATCTGCCAGCCTGGCTCCTGTTTGTCTTTTTCAGCCAAGTAGCCTCCACCTCACAGCAGCCCTCATACTTGGACCTGCCACCAGCCCCAGAGCTTGACTGGATGGAGACAGGACAATCTCTGACGTTCATTGGCCATCAGGTACAATAGATAAGAAAGCCAGGAAAGAGCCAGTGCCCCCTCAGTTGGCAGGATACGCATTTCCCTTGGTTTTTTTTGTGTATTCTGGCTATTCCTCTCTTCTCTGAAGGCTTTTCCCTCTTGCTGCACTGTCCCTTAGTCTCATGCCACTAGACCTTTCCTCATGGTGATCTTATCCACACATTGACCCCCCACCCCTTGCCACGTGGAGTGCCAACCCCTAAATCTCTGTAGAATCTACAGTTCCAGCTCAGTACGGGATATTTATAACCCCGAGGCACCTGAAACTAACCCCCACCACTCCTGTATTTCCAATAACTGTAGATACAGATCCATATTCCCTCCTTCTCTTTTATCTCCCACATCCTGTCGATGAGTTTGTCTTAACTATTCTACCTCCTGAATACGAGTTGGCTTCCGTTCCACCTTGGAACAATTCCTACTCTGCAGTTCTGTCTCAAACACTGCCAGTCACTGCCTCACTTCTTACATTCTGTACTCCAGCCGTGCTGGGCTCCTCCCTGCTTTTGCACATGTAATTGCCATTGCCTTAAATGATACACCTTCCTTCACCTACGTAATGCTTACCATCCTTCAGGTCTTAGCACAAGTGTCACTTTTTCAAGGAACGGTTTATTTGAACAGATCATCTGTTATAAATGGATGTATTACTGTGTAAAAAGCTGTGAATTAAATTTGTGTAATTTTTTTTAACTTGTGTAATTTATACTTCTCTTCCCCAATAATATGTGCTCTGTGAGCAAAGGGTTTTGTTTACCTAGCATGTAGTAGGCACTCTATTTTGGACTTCTCCACTATCAAGACCTTGAGTCTGGTGAGGACAGGACTGTCTTTCAGTGATTTACTGTGTTCTTAAGACTAACATCAACCCGGTTGCAGAATTATCATTGTGACAGTGTTCCATCTACCTCCTGTAAAATTCCCCCTTTCTCTAGACTATGACTATCCTATCATCTCTTGGCTTTCTTATCTAGGATTTTTTTTCCCTCCCATTTCCAACTACAGGATACACCAGGAGTTGGTAACATCCACTCAGGTAAGGCCCAGGGTAATGTTTCTCAAACCCTAACAGGCAATTTTTTTTTTTTTTTAAAGACTAAAGTTGCTAGAGCACTATCTACTCAACAAAGTTGGGTCTTTCAGACACACTCTGCGGTTCTAGGTTTCACCAGTAGGAGAGTACCCAAGACATCTATTTCAAATGCATCTGAGTAGCTCAGGAGCTTTGCCCAAAGTAACATGTACATCCACCTGTTCAGCAGATTTTTTTTTCCAACTTTCAGATCTAAAGTGTCTTAAAAGTTAGAAAATGTCACTTAATAATTCTCATATGTTCTATCAGTATGAGTGTGTGTCTTAGTTTGATCCTAAGAGGAGACATTGTTTTATATTCACCATTTGCTGAAGTATTTTTTGCAATAATACACTTAATATTTTTTATTTTTTAAAAAAGCAGAACTATGAGGATTATTCTTCAGTAGCAAGAATACATGCCATTTTGAAAATGAGAGTATGAATTAAAGCTCCTTGCAAACAGCCAGAGAAGTCTCTGCCCTGGACAGTGCCCACCATGGCATCAGCCACACTATAGCCACTCATCTCCCAGTATTTCAACTGAGGGAAAAAAATAGTTTGAAAAATAGATTACAAACTTTAGCATAAACGTACATTTAAAAAAAACATAAAGCACTATTTAATGAAAGGACTTCTATCCTGAATATATGAAGAACTCTGAAAACTCAATAAAGGCATATAAAATGATGCTCATCAGAATAGCTAAAGACTGACCATGTATGTATGCAGGAACTCTAATACACTGCTGCTGGGAATGTAAAATGGCATACCCACTTTGGAGAACAGTTCAGCAATTTCTTAAAAAGTTAAACATACAACCTCCATTATGATCCAGCCATCCTAAGACAAAAGAAAGCATGACTACACAAAGGCTTTCACAAATTGTCATAGTTTTATTTGTAGCAACACAAAACTGGAGGAAAGAAGTCCAGATGTGCCTCAACAAATGAACAAATGCAAAGAATACTCAACAAAGAACTAGTGATACATGCAACACAGAAATCTCAAAATAATATGCTTAAAGGTACACAAAAGAGCACATTATATTCCATTTATAGACAATAATAGACAATACAAACTATAGCAACATTATCAGTGGTTGCCTGGGCTGGGAAAGGGGTATGGAGAATACTGAAAGAAACTATTTTAAACAGGCACGAGAATACATGGAGGTGATGTTCAGTACCTTGATTGTGGTTTTTTCAAACTGTATCTTAAATATGTGTACTTTGCTGTACGTTAATTACACCTCAATAAAGCTTTTAAGTATCAGCACATGTAAGATATGTTGCTTTAAATTAGCCTAGAACCCTCAACTTCCTATGGTCCAGAATTCCTGAATTTTACCTTTGAATATTTACAGTTCTCAAGTACAGGCTTATAGCTAGGGTGTTTCACAATAGCCTGAAGGTTAAAAAAAATTTCAAGTGCCTTAATTTCTTCTTAAAGGGTCTTCCTTTTCCAGGTGCCACACCTCCCTGGATGTTGCAAGATGAGGAATACAGCTCTGTGAACCAACTAATAGGACCCTCTTATGAAGAATTTCTTAAAGAAAGTAAGTTAACTAATTCAGGAATCGTGGCGAGTTTTTAAAGTCTTCCTACTCAAACAAAACTCTACTTGTAGAGGAAAAACAGAAATTGAAGAAACTCCCACCAGACAGAGTTGGGGCCAACTTTGATCACAGCTCTAGCACCAGTGCAGGCTGGCTGCCCTCCTTTGGCCGGGTCTGGAATAATGGACGCCGCTGGCAATCCAGGTATGGGCCCAGTGTCAGGACACCAACCCAACACCCCTTTGTATATCTAAGCCTGTGTCCTGCTAACCCTTCCTTCCTTTCAGACATCAATTCAAAACTGAAGCTGCAGCAGGAAACAGTCATATAAAGAAAAAAAGCTAATGGTTTCCTGATGTGTTTCCAGCAACCATAAGGCTCAAAACCAAGTCAACAAACCCATACTTGCTATATTATCCTTTGTAACTACTTTTCTTAGGAAAACAGACATACCAGCTTGTTTGATTTAATAAAGTTTTATTTTTCAAAATGTACAGTTGGTGGGACCTGTAAATAAAAAAAATTAAAAGAATTAGAACCACAGAGCCTTGTGAAGGGGATGCATACTTCCTACACCACGAGTCCCTGGGTTCTTGCTCACCTGTTCATGCATCTTCACCAGCAGCTGGGGCATCTCCACCCTTGGTGTTCCTGGTGTAAATCACTTGAGCTCTGTGCTTTGAAACCAGTTTAATAAGTCCTAGGGGAAAAAGATGAAAGTTTTCACACAGCAGTACTACGTAATAGACACTAGAAATAGCTAGTAGTTTATTTTGGGGAAATAGAAATGCTGAATTTGAGCATGAGCAGGCATGCCTACATTTCTTGGTGATAATCTGACTCTTTTTAAATGAAGGGACTCATTACCTATTCTTGGGATAGCCACCTTTATATAACTTTACTGTAACTTAAAAATCTCTTTCATATTAGGCCCTACAAGTAGCTTGAAATATTTATATACTCATTTATACTGATGTGAAAATTATGGTAGTTAGACCCCATTTTAAATCATTTGATTTTAAAATGTTGATGCATATTTTAATATTTGTATTTAAAAAATTTAAAAGGATTTTATTAGTATTTCATTGGTCATATTTCAATATAGTTGTGTTTCCTCTGTAACTCTATGTATTTATTTCATTCACCTGAAAACATAACAGATCCTTGGGCTTCACCAAATTGTCAAAGAGGTCCATGGCACAAGAATGGCTAAGAACCCTGCTTTAGGGTCTATCCTTAGAGTAACATATTATAATTGTTACTGACAACCACTGGTCAGCCTGCACCTAGCCTACTTTTTAAAATTCAGTATAAGTGTTTAAAATTGCTAACAGTCAAGCCAATTTAAGGTGCAAAAGCATACATATACAATGCACCCCTCTCACCTTTACTAAGGAGCTCCTGAAGGGCTGCCCTGGCCAGGGAACCACGAATCTTCAGTCTTTCAGAGACGACGGCTGGGGTTATAAGCTTATAGTTTGGAACTTCCTTACAGAGTTTGTCATATGTCGCTTTGTCAAACAAGACTAGGTTATTAAGCTTGTCGCGAACTTTGCCTTTGGACCACTTCTGCTCACAAAAAAACGAAAAGGAAAAAAGTCAGTCCTCCTGGAAGAAGCAGTCTGTCACTCCTCCCGTCAACCTGTGTCAGACAAATCTCTTCCATGTTTGCACGGCTATACTGAGAGGGTGGCTGTGTTCCTTGGAACACGAACCTACGAAATTCAGAATTTGCATTAGATCTGCAAATTAAGATTCAGTCAAGCTACAAAGTAAAAGAGACCCTGGTAACTACTAATGACATCAAAGATTCATTCGATTGGAAAAAAAAATGCCACCATGCATTTGATACTTTCAGATATGGGCCGAGCCCCACGGAACCAATTAAAGTAATACTATGCGTTAAGCATCGTTAACAAATGTTTTGTTTAATAAATGTTTGATTTACAAGTGGTACGTACCCCGCCACTCTCCAAATGAGGGAAAAACAGAATGAATGATGATGTGAACGTAAGCTCTAATATTCTGACTCAAGACTCCACGACCTTAAAAAGCCACTTGCTATAAATACATCACTCAGTACAGCTTCATGGGCCCCACGCCACAAGTCTCCCTCACTCTTCGAGGAGCTCACTCCTACCTTCTTTTTGGCCTTGCCTCCAGATTTGTTCACCGGATCTTTGTCTTTCTTGGCCGACTTTCCGGCATCTTTCTTCTTCTTGTCGTCCTTGGGCGGCTGCAAAAGAAAAGCAGGAATGCGGCCGGATCATAAGGCAGCCCCCTGCTCCCTCTACTCCTGCGCCGCCACCCTAGCCAGACTCCACTCCCGGAGCACATGGGGGAAGGAACAGCACGCCCGCCTAGAAACGCAGTCCGGCAGTTCTAGAAGCCCTCCTCTGATGAAGCCCAAACCGCGCGCCAGCACCGCCCGCCCCCAGAATTACACCGGCTTTCCCCGCGAACTCACCATAGCGAAGCCTGGAGAGCAGCCGCTACCGCTGCCGTCTCGCTAAGATGTCGGACAAAAAGGAAGCACAGCTCGCGAACAGGCCCAGAAACCTCCGCCCGCTAGGAGTGCTTCCGGGGCAAGGGGCGGAGCCGAGCGGAGGAAGTCCAGAGGCGCAGTCCCGGCTCGGGCCCAGAACTGGCTGCGGAAGTGGGAGCACGCCCTCCCCGCTGCCCCAGCTTGTTGGACTTTGCCGCGAGTTGTGAAGCAGTCACACTTTGCTATTTCCGGCACTAAGAATCGAGAAAAAGGAACGGAAAAAAAATTCCAAGTCCTGGCAACTAACCTTTCCGCGTCATAGACACCCCAGCGTGCTCCAAGTGCGCAAGCGCTGTAGCGGGCCGCGCGCCAGGGCCGAGACGAGAAACAGGTCCGGGGGCAGGTCTCGTGCTGTGGATCCGGGGCGGGAGCGGGGCGGGACCGGAAGCAGGAGGCGGAAACCCAGTCCCGCAGCCGCGGCCCAGTCATGGCGATTTTCAGTGTGTACGTGGTGAACAAAGCTGGCGGCCTCATTTACCAGTTGGACAGCTACGCGCCTCGGGCTGAGGCTGAGAAGACCTTCAGTTACCCACTTGATCTGCTGCTCAAGCTACACGACGAGCGTGTGCTGGTTGCCTTCGGCCAGCGCGACGGCATCCGGGGTGGGTTAGGTTCTGGCCCCGAGGCGGGGCCTGTTGCTGCCGTAGTGGGCTGGCATCTCTGGGCTGGGGGCGGAGTGGGGGAGGGTTTGGGGCGGAGTCCCTTGTCCCCTTGGCGGGATCCACGCTTGAGACTCGTTGACGCTTAGCTTCTCCTCTGCAGTGGGCCACGCAGTGCTGGCCATCAACGGTGTGGACGTGAACGGCAAGTACACGGCGGATGGGAAAGAGGTGCTGGAGTACCTGGGCAACCCTGCTAACTACCCGGTGTCCATTCGATTTGGCCGGCCTCGCCTCACCTCCAATGAGAAGCTCATGCTGGCCTCCATGTTCCACTCGTAAGTTCTCCAATCCTTCCTAGGTTCTGTTGGTCTTCACTTGGCTCATAGGCTGGCCGAGTTGCTGTGGTTTTACGCTCAGAGACTCTTGAACCTTGGTTTTTGCCTGTCTGTACCTCCTTTTAAATCGTCAGTTCTTGTGTGATGAAAAGAGGAACTGATCCTGTATGACAAGGCTTTAGGAAATACTGGTAGAGGTATGATATTGCCTAAGTCAGCTTCTTTCCTGTGAGTCGTAGGTTCTCCGTCTTTAAGATAAGGCATTGAACTAAATGATTATATTTAAGATCTTTTCCTGTCAACTGTGGTATGAGATGTGCTGGTTGTGCGTAGCCACCAGGTGAGTAAACATGGCATGTATTTCCAGAATGTTAACTTTACCCAGCGTTTTCAGTGTTAAATGTTGTAGCCAAGTATGAATGTAAAATACATGTAGAATTTAGATGGATAAAAAAAATTCTTTTTTTTTCTGCGGGGGAGGTAGTTAAAGCTTACTTGTTTATTTGTAGAGGAAGTACTGGGGAACGAACCCAGGATCTTGTGTATGCTAAGCATGCACTCTACCACTTGAGGTATACCCTCCCCCACCAAATGAATTTTTAAGAAATCTTGATACTGCTGCCAGGCAGTTCACACCACTTTTTCTGCCTCAAGCTATAATGTGAACTCCTCAGCAGATAAGGGTCACTTCAGTGGAAAAGTTTGAAAAGCACTCCGTCATAGCAGTGAAGTGCATTCCCAACTTTGCCTCCTTTGCAAATAGGCTGTTTGCAATCGGCTCCCAGCTGTCTCCCGAACAGGGCAGCTCAGGCATTGAGATGCTGGAGACAGACACATTCAAACTGCACTGCTTCCAGACACTGACAGGTACACGCCTCCGGATAGTCCAGAGGGATGCATTGGGGCAGGTTGGGGGAAGGAATTGAGCAGAGTTGGCCTTTGTAAGCAAAGGGGTGGGGTGGTGGTTAGCCTTTTCTGGGACAACTGCAGTTTATTTTGTTAATCTAAGGCCAATATTTAATCTGATGCCAACTCAGCATGCTCAGCCCTGGTTATCCTGGGCACAGATAAAACTCACAGTAATGTTATCTCATATTGCACATGTCTTGGAAGGTGTAAATGTTATTCCAAAATGAAATTTGAATGCCAAATGGAGTTGGCCTTTGGATCGTGGCATTGCATAACGCCCTGAATGCAGATCATTGAAAACTGCCTGAGTTTGATCCCTACTTGGCACCTTCTACTGAGGGACCCCCAAAGCCAGAAGTAATAGACAGAGCTATAACTAAAAGCCTGGTCTCTCAATCAGCTGGGTGATGTGATAGTTACTTCTCTTCTCTGGTCTCACCTGTAGATTCAAAATCTTGCCTTCTGTGCTTTATGTAGCAATAAAGATAAAATAAAAAATGGGCTTATGAAAGTGCTGTACAACCACAGGGTGACATTATTTGCTTTCTTTACCCTTTGGTGACCATTCCCGGTCCTCTCCAGGAATTAAGTTTGTGGTGCTGGCGGATCCTAGGCAGGCTGGGATAGATTCTCTTCTACGAAAGATTTATGAGATTTACTCAGACTTTGCCCTGAAGAATCCGTTTTACTCCCTGGAGATGCCCATCAGGTATGTGGTCCCACTCCCCAGATACTGAGCAAAGCCTCCTTGTCCCTCCCTGTGTGCTCTTTCCCAATGTTATTTTCAAGTGCAATAGAGTTATTTTTAAACAAAACAGAAGTGACTAGCCTTTTAGTTATTTATTTTTTTTGAAAACCAAAGACTTCCCTTGGGGTTCATGTCCTTCTTCAAGCAGAATTTCCACTGGCTCTGCTTCTGCACCCAAAGTGGAGAGAGCCTCAGGCCTCACACTTTGTCCTTATTTGTGCCTCCTGGGGCCGGCCTAGGTGTGAGCTGTTTGACCAGAACCTGAAGTTAGCCCTGGAGGTGGCAGAGAAGGCTGGAACTTTTGGACCTGGGTCATAGGCTGAACCTGCAGTAGGCCCCTCAAAATCTGAGACATCCTGCTGCAGGGGCTGTGCTGTTTCCACTCGGATAGAGGTCCCAGCAGCCTTGCTAGTGCACTTGAAAACGGGAGGATGCTGAGCCTGAACGTGTACTGATCCCTGAGCCTTAATACCATGCTCTCTTCTCTCCTGTGTCTATCATGGTCCTACTTCCCAACTCTGTACAGATTATTTATGAAGGAGGTAGGCCCATAAATTCTGTAATAAACATTCCTTTGATCTCAGTGTTTGCTATCCTAATTGATGGTTTGGGGGGAAAGACTCAGGATGGGAGACAGGAATGTTAAGGGAATTCTGGGAAGATGAGATAACTATGTTCTAGTAGAAAACAAAACAAATATGTGTTCATTAAGTGAATGAATGAACATGGGACTTTGAATCAAGAGCCTTGGACCTAGTTCCAGAATTGCTCCTGACTTCCTAGGGGGTGGGTGTGGTGGTGATGATGACAATGAAAATGATGATGGAACATTTATCAAGTGCTTACAGCTGGGTTTTTACTGCTTTATCTCATTAAATCCTCGCCCTTACCTTGGAGGGGGAATGGGGATGTACATTCTGTGTCTATTACAGATGAGATTTAGTAAGGTACAAACTCTGCCTCAAAGTCTTAATCTAGTTATCAGCAGACTGGGTTGGAACCCAGGCTTTCTGACTACACTGTCAGTGGGTGTTCTGTTGTCTCCCTCCATCAAGTTATTTAACCCGCCTGAAACCCAGTAGCTTCATCTCCAAAACATTCACTGATTTAAACAGTGTGAAGTTGAAGGCAGGGGAGACATGAGCTTAAAGGAGTCCATCCATACCTCAGCATTCCCATTCCAGGGAAATGAAGTCTCTCTCTCTTGGGTGGAAGAAGCAGGTTTTAAGGGAGTATTTCCCAAAGAAAGCCATCTCTGGCTTGTATTACCCCTTTTGAAAGAATTAGTAACAGTGTTTAGTATCAAATCTAGTTTTAGTTTTCTATGACAAGTCTTTGTATCCTCCCACCCATACCCTCTACTGTACCCAGGGTATTGGTGAGAGTGGTATCTCCCCTCTTCCCCTGCTGTCCAAAGTATGGGCAGTAGCAGTTGCCCCCTGCTGAGAGCGTTCGGGCAGACATCATGGCCCACTGCTGCCCTGCTGCTGCAGGAGAAGCCTCACCTCAGGTGGGGATGGGGTGGGATGCGGATAGGGCAGGGCCCAGGAGACTCCCTGAGTGCAGGGGTTTCCTGTTTGAAGGCAGGAAATAGGAGCTAATGAAGTCCAAGAACAAAGGTTGTCTTTTAAATAGAAATTGGATGGGGAGCTGGGACCTCATTAGCCACTGAACTTCCAGCACCACCAAGGGAAATGGCGCAGAAGGGGAAAGTCAAAGATTCAGTGCTAGCCAGAGCAGCTCCCTCTCTCCCTCCCCCGCCTCGTGGAGGGGAAAGGCCACAGGTGGGACGGGATGCTCAGAGCCTGCGCTGTCTTCACTCAGCCTTCTTGGGCGCTCGGCCCATCTTGGTGCGGATGTTTCGTAGGAGGAAGAAGGCACCTGTGCTGGCCGCACAGATCACTTCAGCCACCCAGAAGGCTGTGCTCCAGCTGTAGTGCTTGGCAATGCTGCTGAAGGGCAACCCAGCCAGAAAGCCGCCCACTGTCAGGGAAGAAGGAAGAGCCTGAGTCACTATGAGGCTCAAGCCACTGGAGCCTGCTCCAGCCCCTAGCTGGCCCATGTGCAGGGCATCAGCGGGGTATCACTTACCATTGGCCATGAGCCCCACAATGGCATGGGAGGTGCCACACAAGTTAGGGGGGGCGCTCTCGTTGGCTATAACTCCAAACAAGGCAATGGGACCGTAAGAGGAGAAACCAAATACAGCTCCCAGCACCAGGATCCAGAGCTGCAAGGGCAGGGCAGGGTAGCATTTAGAGTGAGAGAGCCTACTACCTACCCACCCCTGCGGAGGGGGGAGGAACGCCTGGCTCCAGGAACAAATAATTACAGCAAGGAGACAGTGACCCTGCTACACACACACACACCACTTCCCAACACTGACTGCAGAACTAGAGTGGCTGTCCCAGGGAACCGACCCAGGGGCCTGTGTGGCTGGGTGAGGGACGTACAGAAGCCATCCCTCCAAGTCAGGTGCTGCCTCATAGGATTTGTGCAAGCTGGACTGGCTAAGGGCAAGGCGGAGTGGGTAGGACAAAGGTGAGACACACCAAGAGAAAAGCCAGAGAGAAAGATGAGGCACCTCGTTCTCCGTAAAGCTTGTGAGCTCAGCGAGAGGGTGAAGAGCTGAAGTCCAGAAAGCAACATCCTAGAGGAGCACAGAGAGGAGAAGAAACCAGGCGCAGAGTCGAGGGGGCACTGAGGTACAAACAGAACTGAAAAGGGAAATCTGAGAGGCAGAGAAAGGTCAGAGAGAGGGAGACTGAGAGTCAGTGGCCCTCGCTTTCTCACCCTTGTGCCTGTTGTGGGCCAGGCCCTCCTTAGTTACCTTGTGGGAGTCACTGGTCACAGTTACCCGGAAGAGGTACATGGACACTGTCATGCCAGCCATCATGAGCAGTAGCAGGCCATGGCGGGGGTTCCCGTAGACGGACAGCCCTGCCTGTGGATACAGTCCCGGCACCATCAGCCAGAGGAGCAGCGGAGAACCCCCACACCTGGACTCTGACACAGCCGGCCTCTGCTGACAGGTCTTTGGCAATCCCACCACAGTTCTTGGCCTGGGGCAGCTCTGGGAGGCCCTGGAACCTGCTCATTATGTTCTGAGGCCAAACTCCACAACATCCCTTCCTCCACTTGGGGCAGACCCGTGCTGGCAGGCTGTACCCAGTCCCTCCCCAACCCCAGCCTCCCTGGGGCTATGGAGAAGCCCACTGCTAGGCTGAGAGAAATTCTGGCTCCACTTGACACTGGCTAAAAGCCATTCCCCAAGAGCTTCATCCCCACCTCCCTCACAAAGAAAGAGTAGCCTGAAAATTGTTCCCATCTCACCCAGCCTAAACCAGCATATGCCAGCCTGCCTACACTCCAGGGCACCCACCTCTCTGGTGCCTGTCCCAGTCATGCTGGGAAGATTTAAAGGGACCCTCCTCCTTCCTGTCCCTTCTGCCCACTCACCTTTGCCATGGCCCGGTCTGACAGGTAGCCAGCTGCGATGCTGCCTACAAGGCCCCCAACCTCCAGGGCACTCATGTAGGAGCTCCCTGCAGTGGGGAGTTGTGGCGGGAAGAGGGAAAGGAAGGGTGGAAGGGTGTTACACCTTGGGGTTGTCCCAGACTGACTTAAACCCAGAGGTACAGGGTCCCCAAGGTTGACTGGCCACAGCTGCCTGAATGGTGCCCGGTTTCAGGAAAAGAAGAAAGGGCATAGAGGGAAATGTCCTGTCCCTGAATCTCCTGCTTCCTAGGCCCACCCCTGTTCCAACACATCTCACCCACGAGGGCTGACTGTCCTTTCTCCTGGATAAGGAAGAACTGGCCCCAGTCGGTACAGCATGTCTTTACTCCAAACACCACGAGGTAGCCAGTGGAGAGCACCCACAGGTAGGGGGACAGCAGCAGATCCTGTAAGGTACTCTCCTCCTTCAAGGAGCCTGGTAGGGTGGGAGAAGGCCGGGCCTCAGTCTCTGCTCCAGCTGCCCTGCCCCACCGAACCCCCACCACTCATTAACTAGCCTCAGGGGCAAAGTCCATCCACACAGCCAGGGATCAGCAGGAAGTTACCCCCTCACCCACTGCTCTGCCCTCTCCCCTCCACTGCAGGTCTCCACAAATGAGAACCGAGGAGGGGTGGGGGAAGCCACTTAAGCTTAGGATGCTGTCCCCACAGGGAAGTCTGGCTCTGTTGTGAGGAAGGACTAGGATATAACATGAGTCCTAGCATTTGTTGGCTCTGCCACTTCTCTGGTACTCAACTGCCTCTCAGAAGGGAGTTTTATTTACTCCCCATCCGCTCTTCCATCACCATCCCCTTCCCAACATCTACTGGCTAGCACAGGGCCAGACATTCAGCCAGTCCCTCAATGAAAGTCAGCCAGGTGAATGATGAATGAAGGTTCCCGAGTGGTCGGCTTGGGTGGGTGCTCACCCTTCTTGCCCTTGGAGGGGGTGGGGTCCAGGTTGCGGAGTCCAACATCAGCAGGTTCATTGTAGATGAGCAGGAGACAAAGGAAGGAGACAACCACGCACAGTGCCCCGGACAGGGCCAGTGTGCTGCGCCAGCTGTAGCTCTGGGCGAGGATGGTCGCCAGGATGGGGCCCAGCCCTCCAGCCAGGTTCATGCTGGTTGATAGGATGGCCCACCAAGTACCAAACTGAGATGGCTCGAACCACTGTGGGGTAGAAGGGGACAGAGTAGATGCCCAGCCTACAGTCCATATTGAAGCTGGGGGTCAGGTAGGGCAGACCCAGAGGCTCAAATTACAGCAGTGAGGGAGAGGGCTCTTGTACTTGGCAGGGCCAGTTCCCTCATCTGCCACCTGATCCCACCATGTTCAGACTCCTAAAATATCTCAACGAGCAACAGGAGCTGGACTGGAACTGAAGAACCTGCTCTGGGTTGAGGGTGGAGGTGCTGGTGCATCCACGTGCTCCTTAGGTGTCCCCTATGCCAATTTAAACTGGGTCCTTTGAAGCAGACACTCACCTTCCTCAGGACCTTGCCACATGGGGGCCAGCCCAGCCCCTGTGCGAGGCCATTGAGGAACCAGAGAGCAGCGAAGACAGGTACTGTGGAGCTCCAGGAGAAGACAACGTTGACCAGGCCGACCAGGAGCAGCCCGGAAGAGAAGAGCCAGCGGGCACTCATCCGGTCAGACAGCACCCCACTCACGAACTTGCTGATGGCGTAGGCTGCCGACTGGCTGCTGGTGATGAGCCCTGCGGTGAAGAGGAGCGGGGAGCAGGACACCTGGGGGGTTAGGGGCTGGGGCAGAGGCACAGGAGGGGTGGAGGAAGGCATGGGATCAGGTGTGTAGAGATGCCTGGCAGGGTGAGGCAGGTTCCTTCCAAGAGGAATAGGAGGAGCCTGTGTTGGAACCCATACTCATTCAAGGGGCCCCTCTACACCTCCTGCCTCAACATCTGCACTAGACCCAGGCTGACCCACGACTTTTCAGCCTCTTGGAGAGTTCCAGCTGCAGCTCAGCTGTCAGGGGTGGAAGGGAGCGGGACAGGGCAACTCTCCTCCCTGGGGTTCTCATATGCCTGGTTCTCCCCTCCCCCTGGATGCCAGCCCAGGGCCTCTGGCAGTTCTGTTGCCCCACTTCTGAACATGGGGCAGAAGGCTTAGAATTGGAGTCAGGAATCTTATTCCTCCTGAAAGGTGGCCGGCGAGGCCCCATGGAGTCATTGTAGACAACTTCCCAGTTTCCAGTGCTCAGTGTCAGGGACCAGTGCTTGCCCTGTAGTCTTAGCTTGCACCCACGCAGATGCAGAAACTGTGCTCAGAACCCTCATAACACACAGTGCACGTGTTGGTCACAGGCACACACACACACACACACACACACACACACACACACACACATATGCGCGCGCGCGCCCATCAGATAAGCAGCCCTCAGACATGCATAGCCCATGCCCACAGTCCTTCACACACTCATGTTCCCACGGATGCATGGGTCCTAGTGCCCGTGGGTCGCAGAGCCTCGGGCACGTGCACTCCACACGCACGACATGTCTGTGCACACCCCACTGCACAAACACCCAGCTTGTCCTGCCGGCCCCGTGCCCCTGAGCCCACCGCTCCGCCCTGCCCGGGCTCACCCAGGGCATCCTTGTCCAGGGGGATCTCCTCCACCAACGACGGCATGACAAAGGAGAAGGTCTTGCGGTTGAAGTAGTACAGGCTGTAGCCGCCAAACATGGCCGAGAAGATCACAGAGCGGTAATAGCTGTAGCCACGCGCCGCCATGGCGGGGGGGAGCCGGCCCTGCCGCCGGGACGCGGTGCCTCTGAGCACGGCGCCTGCCTGCGGCTCTCCCGGGGCTCCGATCTGCTGAGTTAGGCGGTTTCTGCTCCCTCCTCCGCCCAGCCTCCCAGGCTCCCTTTATAGCCACCTTCTGGACAATCATTAAGCCTGGGGCGGCTCCTAGGGAACCTAGTGTCCTGAGGGAGACAAGAAAACAGGAGATTACTGAAGGCCAAGCTGTGGGGGCCGGAGGGGGTCAGAGAGGCGGGCAGTGCGGTGTGCCAGGCCAGCACCCCGTGTCCCCAGGACTTCTGCCTTTCTCCACTCTTGTCTGCCTGCCTGTGAAACCAGCTGTGATTAAAGGTTTAGCCTAATTACTTTTGTCTGCTTGAGCCCAGGGGAGGCAGGGGTGGGATGGAGAGCTGTCCTCCCCAGCCCTGCTCCCTCACTCACCTACCTTCTCATTCATTCAGGGAAGGTTGAGGGCTTACTGGTTGCTGGGCACCGCACTAGGTGCAGGGTTAGTTTCTGCACACGCCCGCACCCCCCCCCCATCACTACCCCCACTTCCAGGTCTTCTGGAACTGACCTCAAGCCTGTAACTCCCAATGCTTAGCACACGTTAGGGTGTAACTGTTTATTGCAGAACCGTAAGCAAGTGGGAAGGAACTTCCCAGCTCAGGTCCTACGAGGTCACACCAAAAGCCCCACTGGGGCTGCGCTCCTGGTTGGGTCACTCAGCCGCCTCAGCTCCCTTTTACCCTTGACGTCAGTGTGGGCTCCGGTCTGGCAGGCTGGGGCTTCAGGGACCGTGACCGGATGGCCCGTGGGCGGGAAGGCGCAGCGGCGGCCTTCAGGCACAGTGCCCAAGCACCCTGCTTCCCTGGGACCCGGCAACACGCCCCCAACTTTTCTGTTCGGTTGGGAAAGCAATTGGAGCAGAAGCCGTGGGCGCAAGCAGGGCAGACGACCGCGCGTAGGCCGCCGGAGGCTCCTCGCTTCGGGTGCCGAGTGGCTTAACCTGGCGAGGTGGCCCTGGGCGGCGAGAAGCGGGAGGAGGGAGCGAGGCGGCGGGTTCTTGGCACCTGCCCAGCCCCGTGTCCTCAAGCTACTCAGGACACCCGATTCGGGCTGGGAGCAGACGGAGGCCCCGGTGTAGGGGCTGGAGAGGTGCGGAGAGCCAGGACACGTGCGACAGAGAGGAGCGGACGCGTCCTCGTCAGGGACAGCGCCTCAGCGGCCCCCAGGCCCAGAGACTGCCCCTACCCCAGAACCCGCAGTCGCAGAAACAGCTCCGGGTTGGATCAGAAACTGGGCCTCCAACAAAGGAGCCGCAACACCTGAGACTGCCCCTCCAGTCCCGCCCAGGCGACGCCCCTTCCCCGCACACCGCCCAGTACCTGAACGGAGGTGGGAGCCAGAGTAGGACGGGGCGGGGCCGGCGGGACACAGCGGGCGCATGCGCGTGCGCCCTGAGTGGGGCGGGGCCTCCGCCTGCGTCTGCCCCGAAGATTTAGGACTTCAGCCTGCGAGTCACGCTGGTCCCTGGGCGAGGACAGCGCCCCTTAGAGGTCGGACTCGTACGTTCCTTTCTTTTTTTGTTTCAAACATTTTTTTTTATTGAGTTATATTCATTTTACAATGTTGTGTCAAATTCCAGTGTAGAGCACAATTTTTCAGTTATACATGAACACGCATACATTGTCACATTCCGTCAGCCACCACAAGATCCTGTATATATTTCTCTGTGGTACACAGTACAATGTTGTTTATTCTGCATTTTGAAATCCCAGTCCCTTCCCACCCCCTATCCTCCTGGCAACCACAAGTTTGTATTCTATGTCTGTGAGTCTGTTTCTGTTTTATATTTATGGATTTTTTTTAGATTCCGCATATGAGCGATCTCATATGGTAGGTATTTTTCTTTCTGGCTTACTTCACTTAGAATGACATTCTCCAGGAATACCCATGTTGCTGCAAATGGCGTTGTTGTCGGTTTTTATGGCTGAATAGTATTCCACTGTATAAATATACCACATCTTTATCCTGTCATCTGTTGATGGACAATTAGGGTGCTTCCATGTCTTAGCTATTGTAAATAGTGCTGCTATGAACATTGGGGTGCAGGTGTCATTTTGAAGTAGGCCTCCTTCTGGATATAGGCCCAGAGCGGGATTCCTGGGTCATATGGTAAGTCTATTCCTAGTTTCATGAGGAATCTCCATACTGTTTTCCACAGTGGCTGCACCAAACTGCATTCCCACCAGCAGCGTAGGAGGATTCCCTTTTTTCCACAGCCTCTCCAGCATTTGTCATTTGTGGACTTTTGAATGATGGCTATTCTGACTGGTGTGAGGTGACATTCCCTTTTTAACTGACGGCATTCAACAAACGTTTATTACTGAGTGCCTCCCGCTATCAATCACTGTTCGCCAGTTGTTCACAGTCTGGGAAACGTCTTGTAAGAGAGCAGTATTTTCTGTAAGAAGTTAATGTACTCCTCAATAAATACAATTTGAATATTCAACTTGTGGCCAGACTGTTGGGGACAGAGTTAAAAAACAGAATAGCCAGAGCGTTCAAAGTATGGGTCCCGAGTAAAACAGAAGGACTATTGGCTCAGCATTAAGTTCAAACCTGGCTGAGCCACATAATACCTGATTCCTTGGAACAATTACTGAACCTCTATGAACTACTGATTTCCTGTTTGTAAAATGAGGTTGTTACCTTAAAATGGACATTACCTAAAAATACCTGGAACACAGGGGTCCAAATAATGTCAGGAGGAAAATAAAACCACAATCTTTGTTTTCATGAGAAAAATTACATATATGACTCTACTAAGTCCAAAATGTTAATGTTTTGGTGGTGGTATTGTAAGTAACTTATTATTCAAACTTCTGCTTTCCAAACTGTCCATAATAAACACGCATTATTTACACTGAAGAAATAAAAACATTTTTAAAAATCAGCACAAAAACTGTAGAAAAGAATATTTTATTGAAACAGTTTCTCAATTAACAATGGACCAAAGTACAATTTGACTCAAGCTTGTCCAGCCAGCCTCAACTGCTAGTGAAACAACTCAAACATATAGGACGGGGTGGGACCTTTAGGTCTCATTTCTGCCAATGTGGCAAAAAAAAAAATAAAAAAAGGAAAGGAAAAAAACACTGCTGACGGACCG